CTCCACTGTGGTCCTGTTTACTACACAGCAGTTGTTCATAGGTATTCCTCTTAGTCATCCTCTTGAGTCTTGCTCAGCGAATGGAGTTGCAAAATACCTTGCTCCTATGCAGGTAAACCAGTTATGTCCTTGCACCTTTCTTGCTGGTGATCTTGTCTTGTTCGTGATGTAAGTTTGACTCAAGAATGAAGTTGATGAAAGTGTTAAGAAATTAGATGTGAAGTCCAAGGAAGGCAGAAGTCATACAAACATAAAGCCTAATAAAACCTCATCTTGGCAATGTAAGTCCTTAACATATTTTGAAATTCTATGTCAGCTATGGTGATGTCATTTATACTGTACTTGCCAGTTCCCCAAAAGGCAACATAGGCCTTCCTCGGGATGTTTTCTCTTAGATTTTTTGTGCATTCTTAGGCCTTAATTAAGTTGGAGGACTGTTTTTCAGATCTGAATTGCTTACAAATCTCCTTGGCTTTATGGAGGATTTTCCTGGCATATCTTGTCATGTCTCCTTTATATGTTATTGTTAGTCTGGTCTGACTTTTCAAAAAGGATTGCTAATGTCTGATGATTAGACACTGAAAGCTTGATAACTATGATATAATGGAAAGAACAAAATGGGGATTGGAGTCCAGGATTTGGGGCTCAACTTTCCCCCATATTTTATTATGAAAAATTTCAAACATACGGAAAAAACAGTTGAAAGAATTGTATGTGTATATACCTATTACACACACACACACACACACACACACACACACACACACACACTCTACAGTTAACATTCTGCTTTATTTGCTTTATCATTTACCAGTCCATCTAACCATGTGTCAGTTGATCTTATTTTTTGATCCATTTCAAAATAAGTTGCAGATATCAGTATACCAAACCTCTAAACACTTCAACCTGCATATTAATAACTAGAGCTCAATAACTGTTTATGATTCTTTTTATTGAGGTAACATTTATATATAGTGAAATAAAAAAATCTAAAGTGTTGTATCCAATGAACTTTGGCAGATGACATCTCTGTAACCCAAACTTCCAACAAGAATATAGAATATTATCTTTATCCCAGAAAGTTCCCTCATAGCCTTTCTAGTCAATTCTAGTGTCTACATTTCCCAGAAGCAACTGCTATTCTGATTTCTTTTCAAAATAGATACATTTTGCCTGTTCCAGAACTTTTTCTAAGTGGACTCAGACTGTATGTAATGCTTCTATAAGTCTTCTTTCATTCGGCATGATGTTTTTGAGATTCATCTATGTTGTTACATATTTGTTTCAATACACTACAGTTTCTATATTCATTCTCCTGTTGATGGATATTCAGGTTGTTTCCAGGTTTGGACTGTTATGAATAAAGCTTCTATGAGCATTCTGGTACACATTAAAAAAATTTTTTTTAATGTTTATTTATTTTGAGAGAGAGAGAGAGTGAAAAAGTGGGGTGAGAGGGCAGAAAGAGAGGGGAGAGAATCCCAAGCAGGCTCCGTGCTGTCAGCACAGAGCCTGACACAGGGCTCCATCTCATGAACCATGAGATCATGACCTGAGCTGAAATCAAGAGTTGGACACTTAACTGACTGAGCCACCCAGGCCCCACTCAACAGTTTCTTATAAAACTAAACAACACCTCTTTTATAATCCCAAAAGGAATAAAAGCACATGTCCACAAAAAAATGTGTACCATGTGAAGCCTGATCTCACAGTTCATTGATAGAGTCCCATATCAGGCTCTTTGCTGAAAGCGTGGAATTGTGATTCAAATTCTCTCCCTCCCTCTTGCTCTGTCCCTCCCCTGCTCTCTTTGTCTCAAAAGTAAATAAATAAACTTAAAAAAGAGTAAGATTTATAAGAAACTGTTAAAACTTTTCTCAATGTAATTATACCACTTAACACTCCACTAGCAGTATTTGAAAGTTCCAGTTGCTCCATGTCTTCATCAACATTTAGTGTTGTCAACCTTTTTGATTTGATAGGTGTACAGTGGTATTGTGTCGTGGTTTTAATTTGCATTGCCCTAATGATGAATGATTTTAAGCATCTTTTCCTGTGTATTTATCTCTCTCTCTCTCTCTCTCTCTCTCTCTCTATATATA